TCTTGATCATTATTTTGATAAGGATTTTACACTCGTTAAAGTAAACATATGCATTTTAATATTTTATCAGGATTCATGTGGTCTTTAAAAACGTAAGAACATCAATATTGTAAAAGTTATATTTAACTTAAAAATTAACATTTTGACACCAGATATTTTGAGTTAATGAAATTAAATATTTTATCTTTTAAGTTTTTGTGCCCCCATTTCAGTATCTTACGATCTCTGTTTAAAAAGAAAGTATCAGATATATATAAGAAAACAAAAATAATTATAGTAGCAGTATTTGGTGGTAAATGTAGCTTATCGTAATTGAAGAATATGCTGTGCGACATTGTATGGTGAATTTGCGAAAGTAAGTTTCAGAATGTATCGAAACATGAGGATGCTATTTGCTAATCATCTTTATCCAAAGAAAACCATGTAACCTAAATATCCAGCAGAATGAAGCGATTTTTTAAACAATGAATCAAACACTATGCAACATATTATTTCAATATCTTATTCTTAAATATAACATATTTCAGTGTTCTTAAAATGCCACTAAATATTCAGCAATTCCTTAAGTTATAGAAAAAAGAAATATCGTAAATCATAGAAAGCCTTGTGAATGTGCATTCGAATTACTATACAATCTACATTTTATTTTTCAAGCATTTTTTTCCCTTCAAACTTTCTTGTCTAGAAGACTCGATTTAGGCTACAAAAATGATTATCACTAAAATCTTGTATATAGCTATAATAAGTTATATTAATTTGATTTTAGTATGAAATCCTCGGATACATTTAGCAAAAACAGCATAATCTAAATAATATCAGATTAAAAGTTCGTGTATTTAAATTCTAAAAACTTAGAAAATCATAAATAATTTATAAATAGATTTAAATTTTCTTTTCAAAGGACATTAAAAAAATTTTTTTTTTTGCTTTTTGGACAGAAATCAGCTTAAAAATTGTCTATTGCCTAGAAATTTCGAGATATTTTCTATTAACAATTAATTAAACCTCTCCGAGCAATCACAAAACATTATTTCAATTTTTTTACAGTCAGAGCGTGGTTGCCTAGCAACCTAGTAAAATTAAGCATTCCTTTTTTGAATTAGTCAATGGGTTATCTTAAAATATTAATTTGCGCAGACGACTTTTTTTGGCTGTTTTCTGGACTATCGCTAAATATATAAACCTTTATTGCTACCCAATTTACCACACAATTTTTTTTGAAATTTTGTCTACCCCCCCCTAATTCAAGTGTCTAGATTCCAAATATGTAAAAAAAAAAAAATACATGTTTATTCAGAAAAAGTACGTTTTTGTGTCTGATTTCGTAACTTAATTATTAGTTAGCAGTAATTAATTAGCATATTTGAGGTCACCCCCAGGAACCATTAAGATTGACACTTAGTTCGTGAAAATCCGATCATTAGAACGAAAGTTATTCAGGGTGATTCGTTTTTTTTCTTCGTGGACTGTCCAATAGTAAATCACACCATAATAATCATGACAGTGAACAACCAGAATGCTATTTTATGAGAAAATTTTATTACGCACACACACACAAAAATTACATTATCCAGAATTACAAATTCAACTTTTTAAAGTGCTGAGTAATCTCATTTGACAATAAGTACAATATTATCTCGCACCATACAAAAGTTAGATTATACCATAATAAACACGACTATGAGCAACCTGAAAGCTATCTATTTTGTAAAAATATTTTATCACACACACAACAAAAAATAGATTATTCAACATTAGGAACATGATTGTTAAAAAAGTTGAAAATTTTTACTTTACATAAAATGTGACGATAAATCACCTCACATGAACATCATTATGATAGCTTAAAAAATAAAATACACAGTATAAGTATAAAATTAAATAATGTGCATTTTCTTTAACCGTCAATAAAAAAATAGAAATATTTATAACAAGATATTGAAAATGTGCTGAACCATTATAAGAAAAGAACTACAAATTAATATCACACACTAATACATAAAAACCTCATGACAAAATTTTTGTTTTAATGAACTGGGGAGTTATTTCAAAATGACACATAAAAACCATTTGCATATTTCCTTATTAAATTTAATTATATAGTTAAATAGTTTTTCGAATAAAAAAAAACTTATTATGATTTACTAATTTCGATTATTTTTTAAGAGTTTGTGTAATCTTGTGCATTCTTCAAATTTTGGTCGAATATAGGCATAAAAACGTTCAAAGGTGATTAAAAAAATTTATGATCAGCAAATATTTAAATAACTTGCCTTGAAGAACAAGGAATTGATTTTATGAAGCAATCGATACTTCTTTAAACGTTTCATAAACCAACTAAGAATAAGGTTTCTCATCAGTATGAACACGACCATGTCTAGTGAAATGACTTTTATGTGAAAAACTCTTATTACATAAACTGCAAGAATAAGGCTTCTCACCGGTATGTACACGATTGTGTACTTTCAGATTACTTTTTAGTGAAAAACTCTTATTACATATACTGCAAGAATAAGGCTTCTCCCGAGTATGAACACAACTATGTTGATTCAGAATCAGTTTTTGTGAAAAACTCTTATTACATAAACTGCAAGAATAAGGCCTCTCGCCAGTATGAACAAGACTGTGTCGTGTCAGATTACCTTTTAGTGAAAAACTCTTATTACATATACTACAAGAATAAGGCTTCTCACCAGTATGAACACGATTGTGTTCTTTCAGATAACTTTTTAGTGAAAAACTCTTATTACATATACTACAAGAATAAGGCTTCTCACCAGTATGAACACGGCTGTGTTTTGTCAGATTACCTCTTTCTGAAAAACTCTTATTACATATACTGCAAGAATAAGGCTTCTCCCCAGTATGAACACAACTATGTTGATTCAGAATCAGTTTTTGTGAAAAACTCTTATGACATAAACTGCAAGAATAAGCCTTATCACCAGTATGAACACGACTGTGTTGTGTCAAGCTAGCTTTTCGTGAAAAACTTTTATTACAGATACTACAAGAATAAGGCTTCTCACCACTATGAACACTACCATGTTCTCTTAGATTACTTTTTATTGAAAAACTTTTATTACATAAACTGCAAGAATAAGGCCTCTCGCCAGTATGAACAAGACTGTGTCGTGTCAGATTACCTTTTAGTGAAAAACTCTTATTACATATACTACAAGAATAAGGCTTCTCACCAGTATGAACACGACTGTGTTGATTCAGAATCATTTTTTGTGAAAAACTCTTATGGCATAAACTGCAAGAATAAGGCTTCTCACCAGTATGAACACGATAGTGTTTTCTCAGATTACAATTGAATGAAAAACTTTTATTACAAAAACTACAAGAATAAGGCTTTTCACCAGTATGAACACGACTGTGTTTTCTCAGATAACGTTTCAATGAAAAACTTTTATCACACATGCTACAAGAATAAGGCTTCTCACCAGTATGAAGACGACAGTGTTTTCTCAGATAACTTTTCAATGAAAAACTCTTATGACATAAACTGCAAGAATAAGGCTTCTCACCGGTATGAACACGACCATGTGTAGTGAGATGACTTTTTTGTGAAAAACTCTTATTACATATGGTACAAGAAAAAAGTATCTTACCAGTATGAGCACGACTGTGCTTAGTCATATTATTTTTTCCCCCCTGAAAAACTGTTATTACATATAGTACAAGAATAAGGTTTTTCCCCACTATGAACACAACTGTGTTAATTCATTGGGAATATCTTATTACATATACAACAAGAAAAAGTATTCTCACCAGTAAGAATTTCACAGTGTTTAGTCGAACTTTTTCCTGAAAACCTCTTGTTACAATAACAAGAATAAGGTTTACTTACAGGATACTTGTTCTGAATTAAATTAGGCCTTAATTACATATGATACAAAAAAGAGATGCTGTATCAAGTCACTTAGTTTGACTTAATTATTAATTAAATAAAGTATAATACTGTAGAAATATGGTCACCTTACAACAGGCATTTGATTTGTTAATAGGTGCATCTTTGAAAGCATTAATTTAAATTAAATTGAGATGTAAACATTTTTTATTTTTCATAACCAGCTTTAATATTTCTCTTTTGTTGAACATATCAAGGTACAAAACTAAATTAATTTATTTTACTTTATGATATTAACTATTATGATTGTGAAATTATCAAATTTGATTGTATTAGCATTTAATAAACAAAGACACTGCAGAAATAAAGTTCATTATAAACAAAGAAATTTTTTTTCAGTTTCACTGACTCAAAAGGTTTGAAATTATCTATAAAGATTTAAAAAAAAACAACTTTAATTTCCAATTTTGATATCAATGTTCTATCATGCACAAGAAAAGTAAGCTCATATTCATTAACATAAATACAAGAAAGACAACAAAGTGTAATTCTATTTACGAATATTAAATTATAAAAACTTTATAAAGAAAATATTTTCCCAGTGCAAACAGAAAAAATCACAATTTATATTTCTTGTGTATAAATATATGTTTAACATACATATTTTATGAAGTGACACACAGCTTAATTATCTGCAACTGTAATCAGTAATATTTAATTTTAATGTATTTATAACTGTTCAGTAAAGCACTGCATGAAAAGTTCGTTTAAAGTGTAACTTTAACCAAATTATTCTTCTTTACTTGATTAATTTATCACAATGCTTGCTTAATTAAATTATTTCCATATTATGAACACAAAACAATGAAATGAAACTACTTCTGTTTATCATTATTAGAACAGAAGTAAAATGTTTTAAAATAACGAAGAATAATTATGAACTACAATTAGAAACTTATCACCAGACACATCAAATTTCCATGAATGAAAATAATTTTTGTTAGAACATCATTGTAACTATGACACACATTGCACAGAGACTATTTGCTGTTAGTGTTGATACATAATATGAGATTGCCATAAATATTAATATATCCTTTACCTTTGGAGAATTTTCACACACTGATTTATTGTGTTGTACTGATATACTATTTTTTATTGATTATATAAATCGTACAGAAAACACAAAATTTTTATAAAAAATATTTATGCACGCACAATAGGAGTTTTATTAACTGTCAGCAAAAAGATATTTTATCATTCACATCGAGTTTTTTTTCCGTATAAGAAAGATAATCTTTGAATTAGATCTGCATGGAAATAGCCTTTTAAAAACGCTTTCTATTTTGTTTCCATTACTTCGAGGATAATTCACTTTACATGTGTGATATTATGAAAACGCGGGCTTATAAATTTGATCCAAAACGTTGCAAATCAAGAGCACTTTTTTTAAAACTTTTCTTTACATAAATATGGTTAATTAATGTCTTCTAAGAAAGACATTATGTTTTAATACAGTTATCTCGGTAAAGAATTTTTCAAGAAAGAAATATACACGACCGATGAGAGTTGTTTACATAATCGTTGGCCTACTTCTACTCACTTGATCTCCAGTATCTTGGGACATTGCTTTTTAACTGGATGGAGTGAGCTTAGCGTTAACTTTCGTGGAGAAGAATACTTCAATCAATGTAGCGACAAGCAGCCAAAACTGTTGCTCAACAATCAATCAATCAAGTACTGCTTATGTCGTCTGCCAATCGGTTGCAGATTTTTGTGTGATGATCTGACATTGAGGGTTATTTAAGACTTATTTGTGTAGTTATATAAACGTGCCATTATAAATTGTCTTCTCTTGTAAAAGACAAGGAGTTATCTTCGTTTCCTTTTGTCAAGTTAAAATTCTCTTTATTGCTTAAACTGATAGTACAATGCATTTTGATTTTTTGAAAAATTCGTTGGAGCGTTTTCAAAACTTAAAAAGAAAAAAATTCTTCTCTTACGGACTTCCATTTTTAGTGAGTCAGATGTTTATGAGATTGTATGCTGGCTGTGAAAAATTGCATTTTATTTAAGAGACATAAAATAAAAAAGAATTCGCCATCATTATTGATGAGCCAATAATTTGGCACTATATTTAAGGAGTATTGGCATTTTTAATTATTGTATTGAATATTCGGTATCTCTTCAACCTTTTTAATTGTTTCAAATACTTTTTGACCTAATCTTTAAATATTTATCTTATTGTAAAAATTACTATATATCAAAATTTAGCTAAATTGAGTTTGTTTTTATTTTATGAAGTATATATCTTTTCCTTTTAATCAGTTGAAATGTTGTTATTACTTTATTTTAAAGTCTTTTAAAAAGTGAGAATTTTATACTCATTAAAACTTTTGTTTTCACTTTCTTCTTACAAATTTTTTTTAACACTTCATATTAATTTTGTGATGTTTTTAACAGACAAAAAAGAATATTAAAGTAATATGCTAAGTGTTCAAATATATCCAAAACACAAAAATGATTAATGTTTGTATAAATATGCATCAATAAAAATAGCTTATAAAATTTATATTCAAAAAATTTTGTTATAAAAATTAAAAATCATGTTAATTCTTGTTGACATTAAAACTATATAATAACTATATTTTAATAATTACAAAAAATGTAGCCTATTATTTCAATCGGTTTAAATATTATTTTGAATTTTATTAACATTTATTTTAATTCCAGATTCTCTTGGTTGGAGGATCTTTTGGAATTAAATATTTTGCCTCGCTTCGTTATGAAGTTAGAAAAAGTGAACTGGTATGTGTTTGTTTTATTATTATTGAAATTTTTTTATACACTTCATTGATTAACAATCATTCCATATTTAATTTTAAAAGCATTTAAATTTAAATGATAAATACTTTTTAGACTAACATTATTTCTTTATGATGTGAATATAATTTATGATGATTTAAAAAAATTTTCTTCTTTTCATGTTGAACCTTTCATTATAATCAATGTACAAGTTTAGTACCATTCATTATCATCATTAATACATGAATAATTAAAAATGAAACAATTCTGGAATCTTTATCATACTCTCTTTTTCAGACACTCTTTTACAATCTAAATAAACTAAACTTTTTCTTTTTCAAAAAAAAATTTTTTTTTCCTTCTAAATTTGAGAGTTGTTGAAAAAAAGTTCTAAAAAAAGTATACAAGGATGGAAATCCTCCTCTTTTCAACTAACTTTTGCTTCTTAATGATTTTTACCAGACTTTTTTTTCTTCAATTTTAATCCGATTTCTGCCATTATATGAAAAAAAATTGGACAGTCAGAAAAATGAAATATGTTGTTTCTATACAGCATGAAAAAAATCGCGTATTTTTTTCTAATGTCTCGCATAAAAAGATTATTACCACCAAGAATCACATACTCAATTTCAGGGTGCTCAAAAATATCTTATTTTGGAAAAATTGCTGATTTGAGACGAAATTATCACAACTAAAGTAGGTTATTAAGTGATTTTTCAAAAGTGCAATTCAGAATTCTCAGCACGGTTCCCAGCAGATCACCGAAATCAAGCATCACTGGCTACGGTCAGTGTGCGGATGGGTAACCACTTGGATCAGCCTGCGTAGGGACCGAGGTTGTGTGGTATTGGTCCTTGTTAAACTGTTCTACCGTAAAGTGCTCGATTTCACGTGCAGATTGTCGGGCTACCGAAGCGGAGGTGCCATCTCCTCCACAGAGGATCAAAATTGTGATGGCGTGTTTTCGGATCATTCTCAGGGATGTTTCCCAGACCGTCGCCAATAGCCCATTCTGCAGCTCTAGTGCGACGTAAATGAACAACAACAACAGAATTCTCAGATCGTAATAATATTATATTAAAAATAAATCAGAAATTTTAAAAACTGTGGAAATCTCAAACTTTTGAAATGCGATCAACAAAACCACTTTGACAATAAAATGATCACAAATCGAATGCATCAAAAAGTAAACTATGAAATTCCGTAGCAAAAGACAATACCAAATCTGACAAAAAAACTGCAGCAAACCTAGTAAAAATGCAATGAAAAATCTATTTTCTGGACTTTCCACTGTATTAACAAATAATTACATTTTTGTCAAAAATAAAGTGTAACAATCTCTCTCAAAAAATTGTAGCCTCATTTTAGTATGTCAGTTTTATGTATATTAATTTTTTAAAAGAAGATGAAATGACTAAAATCATTATTAAAATTATATTAACCCTAATTCTGATTAATTTTTAAATGAACAAAATAAATTTTGTTTTCTCTTTGCAAGAAACCCCAGGTTTGTTGTGAATTGTGAAAATTTTGATAATACACATTTTTTCTGAAGATTTTTTGCCAAGGAAAATAAAAAAAAGGCTACAGTTTAACAGCTTAAGCAAATCATGAGTTTTAAACTATATATGCAATCTTGCCATGAATAATTATCTGGGCTTTTTATCAGACAAATATTTTAAAAATCATAAAACCTTCATTTGTTGTTGTTTTGCATTGTTTGCAAACATTGTTTTTTTAAAAATCACCAATTTGGTGATATATTTCCTCCTATATGAAAATTATCAAAATCATTACCTTATTCTCATTTTTTGCAAATTTTTATGAGGCTAGATAATGCAGCATTGGTATAAGGTTTTAAATAATAAAAAATTAGACAGCAAATGCTTTTCATTTTTACAAAACCGTGACTTTTCTCCATTTTGATGTTTAGTGCCATTTTCAGAAAAAATTAAACTCAGATACTGCTGGCCAAACTTGATCTAACTGTCGTGAATAGCTGTTGCAAACTCACAGCAGTTATATTATGAAAATAGCTTATTATTCATAAAAAAGCATCATTTAATGTGGCAACAGGGCCTTCAAACTAAATTACCCTAAAAATTTTCTACTGCTTAAGGATTAAGTTGTGGGTTAATCACTATAGATTAATAGGTATTTAATCCATAAATATAAGCTTTCTCTTTCTTTTTTTTAAATCTTCAAAATAAATAAATAAAAGTATCAGACAATTTTGTTGGATTTTTTTAAAATTATTTCTAAACTCCTTTTTTTAGTTTATATTTGGTAGAAAGAATTAAAACAAGTGAAATAAGGTTGTGTTTGATATCTAAAAACTCCCTAAATTATTTTACTAACTTACACAAAAACATTGTTTAAAATGTATTGTAATTCATGCTAATGTGGGTCATAGTTCTAAAATAAATAACATTGATCATTCTTTTGGCACTCTAAATAGAATAAATGAATTTTGAGTAAAAAAATGGTAACTCAAAGTAAAATTACTATATATCATTGTGATAAATTTTCTTATATTATGTGAAGACTGATGACATTCTTTTTTTTTCCCTTCTAAACATAGTTTAATCTTTTTAACCTGTCCGACCTAGGAAAATTTTACATTTAAATACATTTCCTTTTCTTAATCTATATTCACTAGAACTCTGTCAATTAAAAGCTTTCTAATGCTCAATTTTAATCTTAATCACAATACAGTTTATACTATTTGAAAAACTGAGCTTTGATTTGTTTTCAGAATTCTTGTTTATGCCTTATTCGTTTGGTTTCCAAATTATGAAGGAATTATTATATTCTAAAATTTAAAATATAGAAAATATTTTTTTGTGTTCATTTTGCGTTTAGACACCCAGAAATATTTCTGTTTATAGAACCGAAACTATAGTATGGCCATTTCTGTAATTCACATTGTTTTGCTTTATTCATATGTAACACAAGATATACCCCAACTTCATTTGAACTGTTCACAATTACTCCGATTGTGTGTTCACAATTACTGCTTCATGTGAGGGTAATTATGAATTTTAAAATTTCATACATAAACAATTTATTTAAGTGTAATCAATAGAACTAAGGTTTTCTGCAGTAAAAATTCTTTCAATTATAACTAGAATTTATGCTGAATTTTTTTTTTATTTTTTGCTTAAAAACTATTTTTGTAAATAAAAATAAAATGTAAGAGTTTTTTATAAATCATCTTTTAAAAGTAAAATGTTGAGCAAAAATTTTCTGTCTAAGTCACAAAATATATAAACTTTGTGCAAAACAAAGGGGTTTTGCTCAAATCATTAAAAAATAAAAAAGATACACAAGTTGTTCGAAATTATCTCTATGCACAATTATTCACATTAACCCTATTAGCTATTTCTAAAAAGAACAGTTAAATAATATTTATAAAAACTACATTTGAGGCTATAACTTTCTAGTCCTGCATTTTTTTAAATAATTTCATTAGTTTTAGTTAGTTTTCATATTAGAGTACTTAATTTGAATACAAAATAAAGGTCCTGCAGTGGACTGATCGTTAAGACACGGTTCCCAGCAGATCACCGAAGTCAAGCATCATTGGCTGCTGTCAGTGTGCGGGTGGGTGACCACTTGGATCAGTCTGCGTAGGGACCGAGGGTATGCGGTATTGGTCCTCGTTAAACTGTTCTACCATAAAGTGCACGACTTCGCTGTGCAGGTCGTTGGGCTACCAAAGCGGGGGTGCCATCCCCTCTGCAGAGGATCAAAATTGTGATGGCATGTCTTCGGATCATCCTCAGGGATGTTTCCCAGACCGTCGCCAATAGCCCAATGTGCAGCTCTAGTGAGACGTAAATGAACTACAACAACAACAACAAAATAAAGAGTAGCAGAGCATTCTCATCATTTTTAGCTTTAAATAATAGATCAGATTTCCTTTAATTTACATAACTGATCTAAAACTGTAGTCAGGCTGTAATTTTGTGGAACATTATAGCTATACCAAATTATTAGAGTAATTAAACTAATTATTGGAGTGATTATAAAAGTATAATTATTAGAATAAAAATGTTAGAGTATAGTAAGTTGTATTTTTTTGAAGTGATAAAAATTACTTTTTATGTAATTGTATTATATTAATTATGTTGCAGCTAAAGCCTGAAAATCTTGAAAAGTATGGTATAAAGAAAAAGAAAGTTACTTTAGAGGAAGAATATGAGGTAAATATTGATGGTATTAACCACTTCAGTACAATGTTTTTTAAAAATATATTTTTTGAATTTATATTTGATTGGTGTTCTTTCAGAAAATAAAACAGCTAGATATTGATAATTGGGAAAACATTAGAGGTCCCAGGCCATGGGAAGAACCACAATCTAATCCAGAAAAATAATTTTCATAATTGTATCATATGTATTTAATATCATGATAAATAAAGGTTTTCATTTCTTATAGATTATTTATGAACTTTATTTTCATATTGTCAACTCATACATAATTTAATTTGAAAACATTTGAATTTTATTTGTATGTAAATTAAACACTCTAGTTATACCCCAATTAATATTTTATATTCAGAAGTGTTGAAGGGCCAGAAAGGTTTAAATATTTTTTTTTTTGAGAGCTGGAGTTTCTGAACTTTAATTTTAACGTTTCTAATTTCTTTTAAAACTTCTTGAAAAATAAATTTATGAGTGTGGTAGCATTTATTTCTATTTGAAGCTACAACTATTTTATCTCATGCATGAATGTATTATATGATAATTTAAACTGGCAAACTGAAAATAAATTACTGAAAGAATGTAAGAAAAACTAGTTGTATTTTTTGGGTAATATCCAAGAAAAATAATTATAGCAAGTCTTAGTAATCAATGAGCTTAGTGTAAAGGATTGTTGAGAAACATTTTAGTTTAATTTGGAAAGATCTTTATAATACACATCAAATGGCTATTAACAAGTTGTCTTTCTCTCTCAGAAAAACTACCTTAAAATTGGCAGTTTAGGCATGTTTTAGAACTTATAATCTTTTTAAATGCAGAAATTTCATGGATTCAAATGATTGTGTTGTAACATTTTCCATTACATTAAAAAAGATTATGGCAAGTTCTGTAAAATGTTTTGTAATTGTATTAAAAAACTCAGTCTGATACTAGAGTTTTTTATTCAAAATCTTTCCCAGCTCTACTGCATTATTTGCTATGCCATAAAAACTGTTATTTGATGACTCATAACTGACTTTGACTTGCATGCTACATAAAAACTGTTTTAACCATCAAAAACTAGTCAAAAGTTGCAAAAGTAGGTTAGAACTGTTAAAATGGTTTTTAACAATCTTAATTTTAATAATTAGAAGATTTTTGCAATGAAATATAATAATTAAAATAAAACAAATGAAAAGTAAAAGCATTTTATTTCAATATTTGCCAAATATTTGAAAATCTACCATATTTAAAATTCTATTTCTTGGAAAGTATTCAAGATATATTTGGATTTGAGTTCAATAAACAGCAATAAAGAAGGTTGGAGGAACAGTAATAAAATTTATTGAATTCATATTATATAATTAACCTATGTGCCTTTTCTTCATTAATAGAAAGATTATGCAATTTGGAATAATTAAGTTATGTATTGATTACATTAAAAAATGTCGACAAGTTTTGAGAAAGCAGCAAAATTTCTTACTTTTAATTGTTGTAAAGCAATAATTAAAATATTTGTGTAGAATCTTGGTGTTATCTTTTAAATTTGTATTTCGTTTAATGTTTACACACCTTATTTATGTTATAACATTTTGACAAATGCTAGATAAGTTTTAACAAAAACTGAGTAAATTTATTTGATTAGTCTTTAATTGATTATTAAATTAAATAAACAATGAGTTTCTAAAATCAAAATTTTCAAATAAACAAATGTGAGTTTTAAAATAATTAGTTATATTTTAGTTATTGATTATATATTTCGAGCATCTTAATAGCAAAAAATAGTAATTAATTGATTTGTTTTTTAAACTTATACTTAGTATTTTTTTAAAATCTCCAAAATTATAATGCCCAATGCTGATTATTTCTTCCTCGCTTATTGTTCGATAATGTTGCCTTATTATCATCCAAATTTATCAAGCGTATCAGTGTTTTGCAGTTTTTCTTGGTGGGAGTTGTAAACATTTTAATTTGAATACACAGTAATCAAAACACCAATATTTTTATGATTCATAACTTTTGATGAGTTTTTAGAATAACTCATATCACAGTAAATAATTTCCTGATTTCATTTGTATCCAGCGACAAAATGAGAAAGGAATAGAAATGTAAAATACTAAAAAAAACAAACAAACATTAATTCAAGATTAGTTCAATCTAGGTTTATAAAACAAATAATTGTAATTATTGTCTCAATTTTTGAAATAAATGATGCTATTTATATTATTATATTTCTCATTTGCTTCAATAACGTCATAGTTGTTCCCATGATAAATTTGATGGAAAAGATGCTGCATCATTAGAGATGCTAACTACCATGATTTATCCGTAATTTTTATGATTTCAAAATTAATATTACGGTCTTACAGTTAGTTGAGTAATAAAAATTATAGTTTTTGAGAATTAACATAATTTGTTCAACATAAGTTTCCCCCCTTAACTAATAGGAGTTATTATTTTCTACTCTTTAAACAAAACTAAAATCAATAAAACACAAAAATGATTGCATAAAAACAAGAGAAAAAGGTAAATAAAGTTCATTTTTCCCTCTTCCAACAAGCTATTCTTGAACTTTTATCAGATCACCTTATAGAAAAGTAAAAGAAAAAAATATTATATATTCAAACATGAAATGTGAGTAAAAAGTTTTAGCGGTTCAAATGCAGGATGATAAAATGGGCTAATTCTAATTTAACCAAAAAACTGAAAAATTGATTTATAGTAAATTCATGTACAATTTTTACTAATATTATGTACCTATATTAAGATAAGTAGTATACACAACTTAAAATCACACTGATTTTAATTTCCTAAATGCTAACTGTATATATTTCTGTGTTATTGTACTTATTACTTCAAAAGGTAGCACTTCTGTTTATCATAAAATATATTTAGATCAAATATTAAATTGTTGAATAAATTAAGTTTTAATTCTAATGCAATTTGGCCATTTGAAAGAAAGTACACTTTAAAAGAGATACACTGACAACTGCATTGAGTATTTATTTAATTATTAAACAATATGTAAATGATTTATACAGTATATAATAAAAACGGAAAAACTTACAATTGTGAAATCATAATTTTACTTAGCAATTAAAAACAAAAAATATATGTTAAGTTATTACCATTTATTATAAAAACTATTTAATCATGTTGTTACGATGTTTTTGATTAGTTGTTTTGTTATTATTTTTGTCAGACTAAGTAGTGACAAAACTTTTAATTAAACAAAATTAAAAGCCATTGAGCATATTTCAAAATAAGCTGACATAATCAGTACAAGCAGAAACTTATTAAAGACACATATAAGATGAACAAAAATTTAATTTTTACAAGTGATAAATAAAATATTCATTGCATTAATATCTCTTTTCTTAGATTCATTGTTTTGAATCATATAAAGAAAACTGTATTTTTTCTATGAAGATACTTTTTAAATTAGAGAAGAAAAAAAAAGGTCGATCATAGCATATTGAAACAATTGGGTATATTTCCCTATCAGATCTGTTGGCACCAGCCAAAAAGCCAGAGAGATTTTTAAACTTAAAAATTTTTTTAAAAAATATGTAGCCGGGCATGACTACATGTTATACCCTTTGATATATGGTCTTTACTGACTTGTTTTTTATTATTATTATTTTTTTTTTTAGTTGCTTGCAGGCAACTGCCCAGGAGTCACAAAATTTGGTACAGATTTGCTATTTTGGTACAGATACTGATATGGAAATATTGAAATCTTCCTACACACTCTGTAAAAAAAAAAAGATTCATTTGCACAAAACAGATTAATATGAAAATTTTAAAATGAATTTTTTTTTTTTAAAAAGTCAAACTTAAAATAATGTTCTAGCATCAAATTACAATATTTCTGCTTGTGGACTTCCTCCACTAAATGTAGTTGGAGACAGATTACTGCTGCCACCAGAACTATAGATTCTATCTTTTTCAGCTCGCTCAGGTTTATCATGTTTCTCATGACGGTGCTTGTGTTTGTGTTTATGCTTATTTTTCTTTTTCTTCTTCTTTTTATGAATTTTACCTGCCTGGCTTGAGAGTTCGGTTGCCATATTTGACTTATCCATCAGATCATCGGATGGTTTTTTAAACATACTGGAATCAAACCCAGTTGGCTGTTGGCCAAATGTGCTCTGAATGCCAGGCAAAGATTTAGATTGAGAGTCATCAGAATATCCTTCATAGGTACAAAATTGAGAAGCAGCGGGCACTGATGCTGAATCAATACTACTACTGTTCGTTCTTTGAAGCGACGACATCCCGGTAAGGCCTGGTGTCGACAGAGAAGTTCCGGGAACACTGGCAGATTCTCTAACACGCACTTTGTTGGTATCCGGATTGTCACCTATTATTACTTCAGCTTTGATTTTACCATCTGATGAATAAAAATGAGAATTATCCTCAAAATGTAAGGGAGAGGATGCCTTTCTTTTCTCCCCACCCCCTCCAAATTCATTCAGATTTTCTATTTTTATTGTTTCAAGCATGATACATGCATTAGCTGGTGGAAATGAGTCATCCAGTGGAATTTCATCATTTAAAGAACTTACAGGTATTCGTGGTTTTTTATCTTTTATGCTTATTGTAACAGCAATATCAGGAGATGGCAGGATCGTCGGTCTCTTGCGACCATAAAGGGTGTGATAAAGGTCCATCACGGCACATCTTCTTAAAGAATCATATGCTGTTCCACAATTCATAAACCGCCATAGTCTTTCAGCTAAATCTTCAGAATTTAGTGGATTAGAATCATTGTTAATAAAGGGTGGCTTTTCGTTGAGCATGCGTAAAACTTCATACTGAATGGCAGGAACTGGATCATTTTCCACTATATCAAGAAGAAAATTAAGATCTTCTTCCTTTCCATCAGCACTCGTGAAATCAACCAGAGCTTCAAGAGCAGCTAAACGTACATCAATAAACATTCCATAAGCGGCATATTCTCGAAACAGAGAGGGAAAATTTGGTATATGTCCCATTTTTTGTAGTTTGCGTATTGCTTTTAGGCAACTAACTGTTACTGTAAATTTGTAGCAAGATAAAAGTTTTTCCATATTTAAACATCTGGTAATCTCTTCCAGAATTAGTTTTGTGTCAGAGGACAATGAATCAGCAGTAACAGAAAGACCGGTGTGAGGTAATACTGAAATAACAGGAGTGACTGTTTCAGCCAAAGCATCAACTAAAGCAGCTCTGTAATAGTTATCAGAAAATTTATTCTTACTGTTCTCATTATATTTGAATAAATCGAGTAGAAATTTCAAAACTTCAGGAGGACATATACATTGTACAGTTCTAAGACCAGACATAGCCACAGGTATATCTTTTTGAAGAAAATAATGCTGCAAATTTTTAAAATTATTCAATCGAATAATGTGTGTGCAAGAGTAAGATCCAAACAACTTTCTGAAAATCTGCATCATAGCTGGTGGACCAGCCCAAGTCGCAACCATAGCATTGGCAACTTTTTGTAAACAGAAACAAGCATGGCATCTTACTTTATAAAAACAATGCTCATTTTCAATGGTATTAGTTAGAGCTGATCTTGATGCTGGGGTAGGAAATTTTTCCAGTGCATCGATAGCCTCTTTTTGTGCAGTTACATCTCGTTCATAACGCAACTGATATTGCCATTGATAATCAGGCTGTTCAATTACAACTTGTCTCAACAACAACATTTCTGGATCTATGCGAATCCATAAAACAGGAGAATCGGCATCCATAGCACTCAAATCCATATCAACTTCTTCTCCAGTACATAATGGAATCTTCTTCTTTTTGTTTCTTCTGCTTTTAGAATGGCATGTTATGTCATGCTTAGTTGCATTTTCTTCAATCTGCAAATTATGTTTAAATGTGCCATCTAATTCTTGTATGGTCACAGTCAATGGTCCAACATAGCGTCGAATCCCTCGATTCTGAATATCCAACTGCTTAATCTCCAACTCTACTGTATTTCGTTTTCTGTTGAATACAAAATTAGCAGAAAATTTAGGATGGCCTCCTTGCCTTACCCATTGATCTAAAAATGTGTTGATGTCTTTGCCTGTAACAGTAAATATTGCTTTTTGGAAACTTGTAGTAGATAAAAGCATATTTAGCCAAGTTTCCTTTGTCACTTTTTGTTGCTGTTGAGTAGAGTTTGATGCTAATGATGCCAGCGATAACAGTTTGTTGAAAACTTGAAGAAGTAACTCTCTTCCTATTCTATCTTCCAGCATTCTAATGACTAAATGTGATTTTTTAGTCAATATGTTATTATACTCGGGTGATGTCGTATTTAAATGCTGAGTAGGAAAATAAAATGTACCATCTTTGCCTTGAGCAGCTGCAGCAACACTTCCTGGAGCAGGAGTTACACTACAATCAAGCACCAATCCTCCATATTTCTGTTCATATCGCAACACTTCATTAAAATCACCATGAACCCATAGTCTATACTCATTGTTACCAAATGCCTTCTTCATGAAATGCCCAGAAAGATACATGGAAATACCTTTGGGCAACCATGCATCAGACCATGACTGCATGCTAATAAAACATCCAAAAAACTGCTCAGCCACAGCATGAGCCATAACTCTCCGAGAAATATAGGTTTGATCAACAATTTGAGGTGAGCTTAACAAGTTCGTACTCAAAACAGTCATTGTTGCGTAAGGTCGAGCATCTTGAAAAGTTTCATCAACAAATACTTGCTTGTAACATGAGTAAGGATATCTACTTGATAATAGTTCTTCATAGAACTCAAAAGCTTCATGCAAAAATTTTGTTGAGTGCTTCAAATGTGGCAACAGTTGAGGTAAACAAAAATGAGTAACTTCATGCATATGAGGATCAACAAATATTTCAAAAGGTCCTATTGCTAAGCCAATATTAGGTGCACAAGTAGGTACAGCTAGGTTATAGTGATAGGTTTTTTTACGCATATCACTAGTGAACACGGTTTCCACTAAATCACCACAAGAAACGGCAACCATTGCCGCCTCTACAGTAAACTCCATACGCCAAGTACACGGTTCAGAAAATGAATCGATGCAAGGAAACCACAGCCGTGATGAGTTATCACACCCGTACGTGAACATATGGGCACATCTTTCAACCATAGTGCCCTCACAGTCTGGAACAACAAAGTGAATTCCACCTTGAGGTTTCTCTAATGCAAAATCAATGCTAATTCTTAAAGGTTTACCTTCTTGAACCAAATGCATTAAATCTGGAGTGACTCTAATACAGAGTTCTCCATTTCCTTTATCTGAATCCACTGCATTGACAGCTGCCAGGTGGCTGGAGTTGAAATGATCAATGCTTTTTTGACGAATATCTCCTTGACAGATATCTAAACAGGGATCATTGTAAGTGAATTCTACTTCATGAAATTCATTCAGAGCAACTTTGTATATACGTATTTGCTTTGCATTTAATCTGATTTTTCGAAGATCACTTTTAAGAGGAATTATTGTTAATTCTACTGAACCTATTAATGCTTGCCTTTGAAAGTTGATTTGCGTAATACATAACACTTGGTGAGACAGTTTGAAAGGCCTGACGGGAGCATCGGCTCCCTTTTCAAGCTTTTTCATGATTCTCAACTTGAATGCATTCAAAGATTTCAATACAGTTCAATGATCTCACATAATTCAAGGAATTTTTTGACGCAATTATCTTTCATAATCTAGTTTTTATGAATTAATGTTACAAACAATTTACGTTCTTAAAATTAAAGCACTAAGTATTTAAATAAAAACAAATGATGTGTTTATATCCGTTCTAGTTTGTTTGTAAACGAATTTGATTGTTTGATATGGAACAGCTTTCGACTGCCTTTTTCTGTTTGACATTTTGATTGCCTATTTTTGTAATGCTTTATCTCCAAATTTAAAAAAATAAGGGTTATTTTCACTGTACATAAAAAATTTGTGGTTGATTTTGCAATTGAGAATCTAATTGGTGAGTTTTTCATTGGTAAATGATGAACTCACCAATCAGCTTCTCATTCCCATCTTTGAATTTGCACGAGAATTTTTAAGTAATATGATTGTTCCTACATATTAATTAAACAGAAGTAGGTGGCTGGAAACGTTAATCAAAACAAAAGTGTTTGTTGTGTATGGATTTGAAAAATTTTAATTTTGTGAATTTCTGTATTATTGTTTTAACGTATGAGAAAAGCATTTAATAAAAATGGCATCTTCAAATTTTGTTACTTTACCAAATCCTGTTTCAAAGTCTAAAAAATCGTCGAAATGTGTTTATCCTTTTCCTATTATTAGAAGTAATTGCAATGAAACCCAAGCAGATCCAAATTGGCAGTGTATGATCGGTTACTTACAAGACTATTGTATTTTAGTTCACGATGATGAAAGCATCAAGATATTATACAGTCAAGTATGAATAAGTTATGTTTCATTGAAGTTTTGAATAGCATTATTTTAATGCATTCTATTTCTAATTTTTTTTTCCTTCTTTAAGTTGTAAAAGTAAAACGAATGGTTATAAATATTTAAATGAAACGATGTTAAGGCATAAATAGATATTCTTAGATTGTCGAAAATTGAAATTATTTCATGAATTTTTTGTAGAGTTTTTGTTTATATAATGATTTACCCTGCTCTTTCGTAAAATTTGGCATTGGATAGCAGGTTAAAACTAATAGTTAACTAATATAGTAGGTTAAAGTTAACAGTTCTTGTTGTGGTTTTATGTATTAGAAATATTTCTTAATATTAGATGCATAGATATTGTATAATATTGTGCAGAATTTTTATTATAAGGTAACTAAAATTTTTGAAACAAATTTGGATAATATGTCTGAGTTTAATGTTACAAACATAATTTTACAATTATATTTTATGATGGTGATTATGTGTGCTATAAATTTGAAGTTCTCAACTACTGGACTTGTTAATTGACTTTGGTCTGGTTGACCAGTGGTTATTTACTGGTTCTTAGATTTTTATTTTATATATTTATTTTTTAAACTTTAAAATTTTATATTACGGTTTTTTCCTAATTATTAAATAATGTAGAAAAACAGGAACGATGATTGTGCGCACATATTATATTTACAATCAGGGCACTTGCTTAATCATCTTTCTTTCTTATTTTTTTATGCCTTTTGTTTGAATTTTATGAAGAAGATTAAACTTTAAATGTTAATGTAAAGTTATTTTTTTGTGCATGTGAGAAACATGCATTTTAATTTAAGAATAGTTTCTTAAGGACCACAAAGCCCTGTATTTAATAAACATTAATTATAAAATCAATACTCCATTGTATTATTTAAAAGTGTTTTCAAATCCATTTTAGGGTTTTTTCGGCAAAGGAACTTTGTCAAAAAATGCTCCAAAAGTTTGTGTTGAAGATAAAGAAATAAAAAATGAGAAGAGTGAAAGGTAGACATAATTTATTTTATCTTGTTTCCTAATGTAAATTATTTTATTTGAAAGTGACTATGTATTATAAATTAAATTTTGTTTTGTCCTAGTACTGAGAGAAGTTTGAATTATTATTTGATCGAGAAATTAATAATATAAATTGATTAAATATTATTGCTCTTTGATTTAGAAATTTATGCTAGAATTGGCTTGGATATTTTTTGGGCCACTTTAAATAAAACAAATATTTGACTAGCTCATTTTCTTTGCAGTTTAAATAATAAGCTTAGTCATGTTTGATGTGTTTTTTAAGGGAAAAAATGGTTTCTGCTGGAAAAATGTGTTCAAATATTTCTTAGAAAAGTAACCAATAACTCATTGTTGTATTTCACCCTATGTCTATAGAGTTCATCCATTTAAATCAATTGATTATTTTTTCAAAAAATTATATTAAATCAGTTGTTTTTCTAAATTAATCATTAATTTTATAATATAGTTGTAAATATAGTTTGCAGTCTTTATAATGCATATTCTTGTAAAAAATTAATTGAATATAGGTTTTTTCCTTATAAATACACAATGAAAATTCTTCTAACTTTTGATTTTAAAACTTAACTTTCAAATACTTATATTATTTTAACACTGTGAATATATTTTTAAATTTTATGCAATATTATATTGAAATTGCTTTAATTGGAACATAAAAACGTTATTCATAAATACAGAATGCTTTTGCTTATATTATGATTTTTTGGAGAAGTAGTTAAGTTTTACCGTATTATATCATATTCTGTATTCATCATACTGTAATTAAAGTACATGCCTGTTTATCATGCAACACAGTTTGTTTTATTTGCTTATTTTGTTATTTTTGAAGTTAAAAGTTAAAGGAAAAAACTCATAGTTTTAAATTAGATTTGTAATTTGTTTAGTTAATAATATAGTTTTAATAATAGTTAATAGTATAATTTTTTTAATGCATTTTCATCAATTTTGAATCATGTATTTTTATGTTTTGATGCAAATCAGTTTTTTAAGTACACTAAAAGTAAATAAATAAAATTTGATTTAAATTCAAATCTGGTTTAAATAGATTTTTTTTTATTAAAAAAATTAAGAAATTTTTTTTAAATTCTAGTCAGCTCTTGCACTGACTGTTCTTACTTACTGAAAAAGATAATTTTTGTTAAGTCTAAATATAATTTTTAAGATTCAAAATTAGATTTTAGTGTAGCAAAATAATTAAAAACTCATATTTTTTTGGAATTCTATTGATTACATTAATATAAATTCCAAAAAACAAATATAAATGTAAATATATACAGCAGATTCATTAGTTTTCCCACTTTTTGGTGGATTATTTTTCTTAAATATTTAAATTGGTAGTAAATGTAAATTTTTTTTTGATTTTTTAAATTTGAGTACAAAAATTTTAACCATAGATAAATATACAAGTAAATATTATAAATATAAAATAAACAATTATAAATGAAATTTTTTTGACTTAGAATAATGAATGATGGTAATGGTGTGAATAAAAATCTAACAATGAAGAAGGAAGATATGGCGTGGGGAATTTACTTACACTATATTTACAATATTAAAATTAATAAAAAACATGTAATATTTAATTTTTCCCATTAACCTTTTGGAGTCAGCTGATACAACAGCTGTATTTTGATTCTTTTTTACAGTTATAAAAGTGTTTGATATATGAATGAAAGGAAAATATTTAATTTTTGTGATACCGTATTTATTTTGTCTTCCTCATAATATGTCCCTAAACATAACTAACATGTCTCCTTATATATCAAATGCTTTTAGAGCAAAAAAAGAGAGGAAAACTTTGAGTACAACTGTTGTACTAGTTGTGTCCAAATGTTTAATTATAGAAAAATAATTCGTTTAAAAACAACTTTTTGATATAAATTTATAGATTTACTATCAAAAAGAGCGAAGATGGTTACTTTTTCTAAAATGAAATCTGCTGTCTTTAAATGGATGTAGCACAAGAGTTAACGATAACTTAAAAACTATAATTTAATCAGTTATCAGTGTGCCATCTGTTTGGTACGGTGAGTTTGTCCGATTCACTTAGTGACTGATTTTGACCTTGCTGCTCAAAATCCTCTATAATGTAACATGCTTTTAGAGTTGTAAAAGCCCATGTAGTGCTGAGGTCAGGTGATTACTACCATCATCTGCTGTGTGATTTAAATTGTGGTAATGAACACATAAACCATTTTTTAGGATGATCATGATGATTCCCAGGTCATCATCAACAAGAGAACCTCTTGGCCAACATTAACGACAAAAATTAACCAATAAGGAAGCGAGCTAAACTTCCAATAAGTTAAAGTTTTTCTTTAGTCTTATTAGGTTGGATTAACCTGAATTGACTACATTAAAATATAGGTTAATGTTTTATATATTACTGAAAGTAAAAAAATCCTATCTATAGAAACATGTATTGATATGTTCATGATTTTGTTTTTATTTGTATATTTTTTATAATTATTTAATATTTGTGCGTCATTTCTATAAATATATTTGTTTAGGGTTTTGCAAAATGAAGCTTCTAATCAGGACGATGACATCATCGATGTTGATGATGATGAGGAAGACGTAAAACCTTCAACCTCGAAGGAGGAGAATATTGAAGTTGTTATATCAGATTCGGATTCTAGTTCTGAAATAGAAGTTGATTCTGTGAAAAAGAAAGATAGCTCTAAAGAGGATCAGTCTGATGAAAAAGAAAGCCTGCAACTCACTTTTGAGGAGGCACGTCTAAAAAATTTTAAAAATTTGCCACTTTTGAAAACTTTATTGCAACTTGTAATCCTTCACTGCTGGGAATGATTTTTAATAATCATGTCTACTTTTGGTTTGAAAATAATTCACAATAGTGTTCCAGTCCAGAAAAGCCTAAAATTTTTTTTTGTTTTAGTCTGAATAGTCTTATAAAAATGATTAAAAAATTTTCTATAAATTTTTTTTATGTGTTTCAATTCAATTTTTTTCCTACCATTTCTAATTACATATTAAGTCTTTGGTTTTTAATGTAATATGTATTTTGACTAACAGATTTTATTAAAAATATTTAAAAAAAAAAAAAACATTATATTTGTCATACAAAATATTTTTCTTTAAACACTTATTAAATTCATAAGAAATTAAAGACATTTCTTTAATGAAAAATTTCTATAAATTCTTTTTCTTAAAGAAATTTCTATTTAACACATTTAATTAGGTTAACATTGATTATTATTTAATACTTTTTTTTAATTATTTTTCTAGGCATATTTCCTTTCATATGCATTAGGATGTTTAGTAATTAAGGATAATAAGGATCAGGTTTGTATACTTTGTTTCTTTATTTAGTATTTACTTTATTACTCATTTTCTACCTAATTTGCAGATGGAATTCCTACTTCTTTATTATTTCATGATAAAGACACATCTTTATTACATTTTAATGTGTGCCGTTGCCTTCAATCAAATCTTCATGCATGTCTTATAACCGCTTACAGCTGCAAGTTAATTTTATATTTAGATGTGTTTTACAATGTAATTGAAAACATATTTATGTTACTGAACTTACAACTGAAGTTATATAATTTCAAGCTGCAATGTAAAATAGGTTATAATTTTATTACCATTCATCATTCATTACCGTTCATAACAAAATGTCATAACTATTCCACTTCTTACTTTATTTTTAAAAGCATAAAATATCAATGTAATATTTTGTATCTCTTGTTATATATTAATATTTATTCCATGTTATGTCATTCCATAATTTTATGATCCATTCTATTAATTATGAAAAGTCATAATTATTGTGCCTATCTCCTTAATTATAGGAGTAAAAAATTTTCATCCCATCTCTTGTTATATATTGTTCCATATTATATTATTCCATAATTTTATAATCCCAACTCTTATTTAGGAAAGGATGTCATAATTATTGCGTCTATTTCTTTAATTTTACAAGCATAAAACTTACATAATATCTTTTATTATATATTGCATGTTTAAATATACTACATAATAATCCAGTAATTTTTTGGATGCAGCCCATAGACTTAGCCAGATTGTGGAATAAATTTTGTGAATCTTCTCCTGATGGAAATTTTCCTGTAATGTACACTGCATATCATCATTTTAGAAGCAAAGGTTGGATTGTAAAACAGGGTCTCAAGTATGGAGTTGATTACCGTACGTATTTTGTAATTTGCATAAAACTACTTGACTTTTTCTATTCTTATTATTTGACCAAGTATTTGCAGTATGTGAATGTTTCTATAAAAATTTCTCTTCAATACACAATTTCTCATAGTATAGTAGGAAAAACAAAAGGTGAAAAAGTGTTGCTTTCATACAGTTAACTCGTGTATTAGCTTCACAATTATTCTAACAAGTAATATTCTCTGAGTTTCTGGCTTCAAAATTTTTATGGTGTTAAATGCATCTATTTATATGTTTAATTGCCTGCAATGTCCTTATGATAAAAAGTTTTGTGATATACTTTATTAAAATTTAGAAGGAAACAATAAGACAATTTTGCATTCAATTCTTTTTCTTAACTAGTAGTTATCTTACTTTTAGCAAGTTTTACTGAAATTAATTTCATAATGTTTGTGATTTGTGTCTTGAAAAGCTATTAAACATGTTTAAGTTTCCTCTGTTTCCATAGCAGAAACTTAGAATCATTACCATGCTATTAATCAAAAGTTTATACTTTGATTTTTATTTTTTTTACATAATTAATAATATTAGAGAGTAAAATTTTATTCTGAATTCATTTTAGTGAAAGCTGTGGAGTTATAAATTTCATTATTATTATTTTTTTCAAATGAAAGTTTATCAATGTATACTATGAGAGTATACTTGAGTATACTATGAGAGTGAAATGACTAGTAGAAATTATGCCTTTGGCACAAGTATCATCTGAGCTTGCAAGATTTAATATTTGTTTGCTTTTACCACATTTGTTTGAAAATATGATTTTTAGAGAATTGTGCCCTAATTTATTTTTTAAATGAGAAAGTAGAAAAATGTTTTCAAACTATCTCCATTCACTATTGAATTAAATAAGAAAAAATAAAGATTGATACAATCTAACTCCAGTTTATTTGAGAGTGAAGTTTAAAGGTCTAAATAAATAAAATAAATAGGTTTTTAATATTTCTAACTCCTTCTTTGTATCTGATTAAATAGTTTATAAATTAGAAACATATTTGTTTTTTCTTCCTTAAATATAGATTTATGATTCTTTGGAAGTATGTATTTTAATATTGAACACCCTTTATATTATAAATATCATTATATAGCAATATAATATACTTTATATATTGATTTTTTTTAGTTTAGTTCTTTTTAAGGTTTAATATTTAAACAACGCATTAAGTTTTAGAGCTAAATTATAATTTTAATTTTGAAAATTTGTTTTGTAGTGATTGGTGGGTGACTTTATTCATACAATAGAACAAATTCAACTTTTTATTGATTACTTTTACAGTTTTGTACAAAGATGGCCCTGCTTTCTATCATGCAACATATTCTGTTATCGTAAAACCTGTAAAGGAGCAAAACTTCAGAGAAGTAAGAGGTAGTCGACAAATGACATGGTCTTCTTTATTAGCTCTAAACAGATTGAATAGCAGTACAGGAAAGGTACTATTTTAAAATATTATTAAAGTTATTTTGAAAAAAAATTTTTTTAATAGTTAAATTTATCTGACCATTCATTTTTTCAGAACTAATTCAATTTTTCAGAAAATTGATTTTTGTATATATTTTTACAAAATGTAAAGCTTTTTGCAGAAACTATTTTAACTTCTGGTTTATAATAATCTGAAAACAAGCAGTCTGTACTAATCGCCTATGAAAGAGGACAAAAAAGAAAGATAAATTTTTATGATACTTATTTTTTATTATTATACACTTTTTGTTCAGATATTATTTTTGCCTTCTGAATATGTTTAAGCATGCTTTAACATTGTGATACACACTAGATAATGAAAAGAAAAATAATTTTACTAATATCTTTTTAAAATTGAGGTTTTAAGAAAACAAATTCTTGAACAGAAAAGTAGAGATTTTAACCAAATTTAAATTTGAAAAAAAAAATGATTGTTTAGGAAATTACTATATTCTTTAAATTTTGAAATATTTGTTTAATGGTAGATATCTAAATATTCCTTTAATAGATGTTTCATTTTTGCCAGTTTAGAAAAGTCTAAATATTACTGTAACGTGTAACATTTTCAAAAATTACAAATGTTACATTTTATTACTGATCTATTTAAAATATAAGAAAACTTAACTTAAACTGTATTGATTTTGTTGTGTTAAATAAAAAAATTATAGAGCTAGGTATGTGTTTAATTCATAGTCTGTAAGTTGAATTATTAGTTAAAGAGTAACACTGACTAAAGTTTAGACATCTATGGTCAAGTTGTATATGAAGTTTATTTGTCTATAGTTAAGGTTTTTTTAAAAATTGATTGCTGATGTTTGCGATTATCATTGTGTTTTAAAGAATTTGCATTAAAATGTCTTTATTATTGGTTTAAAAATTTATTTTTTTTAAGTTTAAAAGCAATCTTTATTATTTGTTTATACTTTAGTCTTTTTGATTTTAGAGCTTGTTGTTTCTGTATGTAATAAAGCCAAGTGGACTGTCTGAAAACAAAATATCTACTCCATTCTGTATTTCACAATATAAAGTAGAGGTAAAGCATTTTTAGCACATTTATTTATACTTTAGAAAATTATTGTTTTCCAAAATCACTAAATTTTATTGCCATGCATATAGTTTAATGTTAAATGCCATTTTCATAAACTTGGAAATCACAAATATTTCATTCTTAGGAAAAAATCTTTTCTACATGTTTGTTTTTCTGAAATAAATATATTTTTCGTTTGCCTTTTATTTTCTAAAATATTTTTCATAATTTATCATATTTGTTGACCATTTTAATGCCACACTAATAATAAAATTAAAAGGAAATGCCCGAATAAAGTTTCTTTTTTTCAAAAAAAAAATATTTCAAAAAACTTTGTTAGAAAATAAGAATTTTTTAAGTTTTTCTTATTTATGATATTAAAAAGTAAACATAAAGGAGCTTCTATTGAACGTTTAAGTTTGAACACTAGTACTAATTTCAATTTTTTTGGCTTTCCAATTGTTTGCAGTTTCTATTTAAGATTTATTAAAATTTTAAATAGTTACATGCTTAAAATAATTGCAGTTCTTTTTACCTAGCTTTTATAACTTTACCTTTTTTAGAACTTTAATACTTTTTAACATTGAAAATGTGGCATTTAATTAAAAGTAATATAACAGATCTTAAAAAAATATTCTCTATAAAAACTCAAATCAACTAATTTTTTCCTATGTTTGCGAATTTTTTAAATTTTTACAACCTCGGTTATATTTTTTGTTACTTTATTCTTTAATACTTTTATTTTTGTTATTTTATTATTTTTATTTATGTTTTAGGAAGTACTTTTCCAGCGTTGGGTAGCATCTGAAAATAGAGGAGAGAATGATTAACTGAAGTGTGTAAAAAAATATTGTGATATTTTATGTAAATAAAACTTTTATACATAAAAAAACATGCTTAAGTTATTGGTTTGGTGATTGGTTTTAATATATTTGTTATTTAATTCAGATTAAAATATGTTATGTGTATGACGTGTATAAACGATAAAATAATAATAATGGCCTAATTTAGATTGAGGCCTTTACTTGTAACAAAAGTGAAAAAAAAAGTTAATACAAATTAGGCCTTCAAAAGATCCTTGATGAAAAAAAACAGGATATTTGTTGTTTTATTTCTGAATTTCTAAGTATTCTGGAAAACCAGGGTAAGTTTTGTAACCCTACTACCTTACAAAACTTCAAGTTTTGTAAGGTAGTAGGGTTTGGAATTATGTTCATATCTGTGTAATTTAAATATAGTGAGCTAATGAACTTTCTGGAGCATATATTGTGGTACTTTTCAGTATTTTATACAGTACTGCTCAAAAGTATCAGTACACCTAGAAGCTTATAAAAAAATGGCAAAATTCAAAGTGTCATAACTTCTTTATAAATGATCAAAAATGCTTCTGCTTTAGCTCATTTTGAAGCTTAAAATCTCTACTTTTATGTACTCTAATTGTTTTTAATTAATATATTTCGCAATTATGCACAATTACACTCTAAACAATCACAGAAAATTGTATAAATTTTTTGTGAAGTTTGACGCGATGTACGTGCACAAAGGGGTTAGATATTGTTAATTTTTATTATACCATTGAAACATTTGTACTTTTAGCTTTCATTTGAAAAAAAAAATTCCAAAAAAACATGTTTTTTGACGAAGTTATTGTCAAATAAAAAAAAAG